TAATTGGTCATAATTCAAATGCTATGTGAGCTATCGAGCTGCAATTTGTTTTGTTTTATTTATTATTAGTTTTCCTACAACTTTTGTATTTGTAACATTTTTCTAAAACCAATACTTAGGGAGATATAAAATTTAAACTTAGTTAAAAGCTTTGTTTCAGAGTGCAAAATTATGTTTTTCTCTATGTATACTTTTAAATAGAAATAATACGCAAATATGGTTCAAACAAAAGTTTTAGTACGTTTTTCAAGGTTTACAAATATATTATTGGTTAGTCATCTAGGTGACCGGGTGAAGTGCTGGGCGTCGGCAAAGTGAGCGCGTGCGCGCTAGTTGAACACCTCTGCGCTGCGTCGTCGCATCTAGCCCAGCCAATAAACGCACAAACTGCCTTTTTTCGTAGCTAAATAGTGGAAAGATGAGTTTTTTATATGTGATGGAACCACATACAAACCCAAACCTGGAAATTACAGTCGTTTACTTTACTGCATATCATTCAAATTCTACGCATGCCATCGTAGTGAAATTTGGTTTGTATTATTTATAATTAGTTTATCTACAACTTTTGCACTAAAGATTTTCTTATAAAACTATATCCAAAGAGATATAAAATTTTTATTTTATTTTTGTAATGTTTATGTTTTAGAGGTACACAATTTTGTTTTACCCTCTATCAATTTGTTAAAAAAAAAAATTCCTTAAAATGTTTCAAACAAAAATTTTATTATGCTTCTTAAGATTTATAAATATATATTTGGTTAGTCAGCTGAACGAACTGATGTAATGTGGGGCGTCGGCAAATAGAGCGCGTGCAGGCTCGCCCGTCGATGCGTCGCGTCGTAGGCACTGACATCGCTAAGTTCTCAAAGGTTGTATATACAAATGCTAAGGCCTTGTACTTTGTATTTTACTACCAAAACAATCTGTATCCAAGATTAACTGTTAACTCCAAAAACAATTATTATTTAGATGGAACCCAATCATTTACTTGTTTATAGCCAGTTTTGGTTCAGGTAAATTAATCTCTACCTACTTACTTGTTATACTTGCAATACTTGTAATAGGTACTTGATTTCTTCATCTTTGACCAACGGAAGTTTGATAGATTGAGGTATAGAACACTAGGCCTAGTAAACACTTTATAAATCACTACAAACATACTCTTTGCTCTTCCTTACGTTACAATGTGATTTCCATTATCTACCACCAATGGGACTCGCTTTGTTCCGCAAGGTTTTTACTAACTGCGCCTCGCGGTCAGTCAAGATCTAAACAGAAAACTGCAAAAAAATACTAAGATGAAACCTAATCATTTGTACATTACTTAGATTTATTGTTACTTTTAACTCGTTTCTCATTTGAAATAATAATTTATTACATTATTTCTGTTAATGGCTACACCTATTGACAATAATATACATATCCATGTATATTAAAGAAATATTACATTACATAAAGCTGGGTAAGAAACATACTGAACCCAATGATGAGATGACCCAATTCGCCTATGGGTCTCAGGATGATTGGAGTGTCGAATCGAAATCCACCACCACTTACCATCTTTTATGTAATATTTACAGTATGGTGAGTAACATTATAAGTGTAACTTTCTGTTTTGAGTGTTAGATTATTAGACGTATTTTCTTTTATTTACTTTCCAATTAATTAATGTAATAAGGCATATATCCAAAAGTCATAAATAAGTAAGTAAAAAACTATATTTGTGTCCCCATACATGCAGGCAAGGCTATTTACGGAATACATACAGGCAGATTATTCAAATTTCCTTTCTTAACAATTAACATACTGTGTAGATGTGTCAATCAAATTGGGGTTTTCCGTAAAAATTGGCAGCAATGTATTACGAATCTGCTTTACGGCACTAATACGTCGTCGAGATCAATCATTTTTAGAGACACTATACTGTGAATCTTGGTGAGGTTCTGTTCTCTAATATTTGATTGTTTTCATGTTATCCTAAAAATGAGTCAGCATAATAGTTCTTTATTGGTTTTTGGTAGACATTATGCAATCGTTTAACATCGCTAATAAAGATAAATGCGCTTATTAAGTATTTTAAAATCTCCTATATATAGACTTAATAAAAAAAACTAGTTTTAACATTGACTGGTTTTAATTTGTGTTCCTTACCATGATTAAAAGTGGCTTATAAATATTCCCGACAGTTTTCTACGTTGTTCGTGATATTATTTTAACATAGGCTTACAACTCATGGCAGAGCAGAAAGAGAACCCTTGCTAGCGGGAAGCGTGAAGAGAGGGACATATCAATGATAGGACGCAGTTTGTATCAAGGATTAGTGGGTCGACGAAAACTTTTTACTGACCGTGAGGTGCTTCATTTAGTCACGGTTTAGCTTGGAAACAGATTGTTTTGGTAGTAACGTAGGCTACAAATTATTAAGTCGGATTTGTATGAAACTGTTGAGAACTTAGAGGTGCCGGTCCTTATTATGCATCGACGGGCGGGGCTACGCGGATGCTTTAAGAAGCCTGCACGCGCTGTCTTTGCCAACGCCCACACCACATCAGTTTTTTTTTTTTTTCAGATGAATAATCAAATATATATTTATAAACCTTAGGCCTAAGAAACATACTAAATTTTGTTTCCGACACATTTTGCGTATTTTATTTGAAAAAATATATAGAGGGTAAAACAAAATTGTGTACTCTAAAACATAAACATAAAAAAAAAATTAAAATGCTATATCTCTTTGGGTATAGTTTTATAAGAAAACCTTTAGTACAAAAGTTGGAGATAAACTAATTATAAATAATACTAATCAAATTTCACTACGATGGCATGCGTAGAATTTGAATGATATGCAGTAAAGTAAATGACTGTAATTTCCAGGTTTGTAGGGGGTTGGAGGGGGTTGGGGTGGGGAGAATCGGAAACTTTTTGAAAATACACGTCTTAAGTGGTTCCATCACATATAAAAAACTCATCTTTCCACTATTTAGCTACGAAAAAAGGCAGTTTGTGTGTTTATTGACTGGGCTAGATGCGACGACGCAGCGCAGAGGTGTTCAACTAGCGCGCACGCGCTCACTTTGCCGACGCCCAGCACTTCACCCGGTCACCTAGATGACTAACCAATAATATATTTGTAAACCTTGAAAAACGTACTAAAACTTTTGTTTGAACCATATTTGCGTATTATTTCTATTTAAAAGTATACATAGAGAAAAACATAATTTTGCACTCTGAAACAAAGCTTTTAACTAAGTTTAAATTTTATATCTCCCTAAGTATTGGTTTTAGAAAAATGTTACAAATACAAAAGTTGTAGGAAAACTAATAAGAAATAAAACAAAACAAATTGCAGCTCGATAGCTCACATAGCATTTGAATTATGACCAATTAAGTAAAACACTGCAATTTCTAGGTTTGGAGGGGGTGGGGGGGGGGAAAGCTCAAGGGGTAGAAGTGGGGACTTTTGGGAAAATACACCTCTCATGTGGTTCTATCACATATAAAAAATCCAGCTTTCCACCATTTAGTTGCGATTAAAAACATTTATTGACTGGGCTAATAGGTGCATTGTCAAAATTAAATCCATACATAAAATATTTAACATTAAAACTTAACTTAAAATTAAACACTTAAAATGAAAAAAAAAAAAAAAAATTCTAAATTGTAGTTCTGTAAAAATCTTCAATTAAGTAAAAAGCATTGTCAATAAGTAAATTAATTATCTATTGTCTCTTTAAATTTGGTTTTGCTTAATGACTTATAGCACGGGGGAAGCACATTGTACAATCTCAGCCCAGCATACAATGAAGATTTTTCATATAGGGTCAAACGGTGTCTGGGGAGTCTAAATATATTTTCATTTCGGGTTTCATACCTGTGATTAAAATGTATTGTTTCAGGTAGCTCATTTTTAACTGAATGTATGTAATTTAATAATTCTAGAATATACAACCCCGTTAATGTCTGAATTCTTCAATTTTGAAAATGTTTCTTACAAGAACTGCGTGGATGAGAGTTGGTGATAATGCGAATAATACGTTTTTGTAACCTGAATAAAGTTTTAATACCAGTAGCTTGACCCCATAAAATTATGCCATATCTTAACACAGACTCCACATAAGCATGATAAACTACTTTAAGTGTCTCAATAGAAACACAGTCCCTTAAATGTATGAATAAAGATGATGTCGACCTAATTTTGTTATGTAAATAATTCAAATGTGAATCCCATTTAACTGTGTCATCTACGTAAACCCCTAAGAATTTATGAGCTTCAACTAAATTAAAAGAACAGTTTTCAATATTTTTGTGTCTAGTAGAAAATTTAATAATATTTGTTTTTTCAACATTAAGTTTTAACCCATTTTCTAAAAACCATTGCTCCATATCCTTTACCACACTTTGCAGAGAAGAAAACATTTCAGTTGTATTATTATTTTTGATCAAAGCAGTAGTGTCATCGGCAAAAAGAATTAGTTCTTTATTAATAGCTTTATGGAAGATCATTAATGTAAATAAGATAAGTACATGGCTGCAAAGATCGTGCGGTCAAACAATTCACGCTTTTGTACGATTGTGGATGACAAATAATTACGCCTCTGTAACCGCAGGAGTTGACGATTATGTCTCTGTCCACCCGAGAGATGTTCAAAATTTTGCTGTGATCGCGGAAGATGATGATGATGTTTCCATGACTGCGGAGATGTTTATGATATTGTCACAATGGCGGGAGACGATGATGATGATGATGATTCAGTTACTGCGGGAGTTGAAGATATCGCTGTGAACACAAGAAATGTTCAATATTTGGCTGTAATCACAAGAGACATTATGATATCCACACAACTGCGGGAGATGTTCAGACTTTGGCCACGATCGCAGGAGACAGTGATGAAGTTTCCATGGGAGTTGTTCAGAACGTGAATGTGTGTGTTACCTCGTCAGTACCAACACTGACAATGAGGCAATGTGTCAGGCTCTACTAACTGTCAGGTTGTTTACAGGTTGAAGGTTCGCAATGTACAGATCAGTGCCAAGGAGAGTAGTGTCGTGGTGTTAACAGTCCTAGAATGTGTGCGTTACCTCGTCAGTACCAACACTGACAATGAGGCAATGTGTCAGGCTCTACTAACTGTCAGGTTGTTTACAGGTTGAAGGTTCGCAATGTACAGATCAGTGCCAAGGAGAGTAGTGTCGTGGTGTTAACAGTCCTAGAATGTGTGCGTTACCTCGTCAGTACCAACACTGACAATGAGGCAATGTGTCAGGCTCTACTAACTGTCAGGTTGTTTACAGGTTGAAGGTTCGCAATGTACAGATCAGTGCCAAGGAGAGTAGTGTCGTGTTGTTGACAGTCCTAGAATGTGTGCGTTACCTCGTCAGTACCAACACTGACAACGAGGCAATGTGTCAGGCTCTCCTAGAAGAGCAGGTAATTAGATAAAGCTTTTTTTTATTTGCAACACCTCTGGCTTGAAGCAAATTGTATTAATTGTTTTGGGGGGAAAATATTCAAACTGTTTACGATCTAGCTTCAGCCGAATATGAGGCAGTTCCAGCTCAGCGTCCTGTCTTGTACTAAAATATTTTACCTCGGATTGCAACTGAAGGCTTTTTTTGTTAATTAGCTGTTAATTAGTATTAGACAATCTTACCCATAACAAAATATGTCAGAAATGCTTAGAAAAACTCCCTTTTTATTGTAAATTTTTAATGTTTATATTTCACTATTTGCTAATAAAACTTCCCTTGCTAAATTCAGGTATTTCCTATGTTGGAGACGGTTATGTCGGAGACCAAGATGCAGCTGGCCAGACCAAGTATGTTCTCAGGTGTTGCCAGTCTGGTCAACGTGTGGGGACAACAGGAATCTCCCATCTACCTCAACCTTACAAGGCTCTTCTGGCAACGGTTGGCAAGCTTGTGTGAAGTAGCTCTGCGCAACAATATTGTAGACTATCCCACACTGGCCAACTTCTGTGCTGCTCTTGACACACTACTCAGTTCTTTGAAGAGCCCTCACGCTCAGTCAAGGAAAGGTTTTAAGGTAAGTTGCATGTTAAAAACTGAACATAACTTATTTTAACACTTGGCATTGAAGAAAAAGTTTTAGTCCCTAGCAAAAAGAGGACCTAGCTATTAGCAATTAAATGTTTTTTTGTTTAATTTACAGATGAACCAGAATGGTAAGCATACGACACACTTGTATATATTTCGGAAAATATTTTGCAAATAAAGAAAGATTCTTTAAATAATAACTTTGACAAAATTAAACTATTGAGCCCCTATCATTTATTACCCTTTGTTAAATTTAAAACCAACTATCTTTAGAATACCTTTAGAATATCTTTAGAATACAAACTCAACAATGAAATCTCCGAGGACCCTGCCAGGGTTGCAAACCGATTTGCCAGTTTCTTCTCCTCAATCTTCAAAACTCCCCAAAACAAGCCTCCTACTTTCGATAGCAAGACTGAGGAATCCTTCTCTTCATGGAATATTTCCGCCATGGAGGTAGAAGGAAAGTGCAGCCGGGTCGATTTTTCGAAAGGACCGGCCCTGATGGGATTCCTCCTCAAGTTATAAAGCACTGCAACCCAGTTCTTGTTCCCATCCTAACCATTTTTTTCATCTTTTTCTCTTCTGTCATTTTTCCCTCGTATCTGAAATCAGGCATCATAGTCCCAATATTCAAGTCAGGAAACTGCAGTGACGTCTCGAACTACCGCCTGGTTGTACTATAAGGACTTAACTTCGTACTAGGGAAACACATCGCCACTCAACAACATGGTTTCAGGAAGAGCAGATCCACCTCGACCAATTAATTCTCTCTTTATTACATAAGGCTTTTGACCGAGTAAGTCATAAACATTTTATTGGCAAGTTGGAGGCCTACGGTGTTACCGGTGCACTTCTCAATTTCATCAAATCATATCTGACCAATCGCTCCTTGGTGGTAAGGCACTCATTGGCCTTATAGGATCCAATTAGTGTCACTTCTGGTGTCCCTCAAGGGTCTCTGGTTGGCCTTTTTTTATTTAACATCTTCATAAATGACATCACAGATATCCTGAACGTTAGGTTTTTCCTTTTGCAGATAACAATAAGCAAGTGCAACACTAGCACTCGCAGTGAGATTTGACAAACTAACCGTCAGAGGGTTAGCAATAATGGCTAGCTCACTGTGAAATACCGTGAATTTGGAGTCAGTGGGTTAGACTGTCGTAAAGAAAACATTCAATTAATTTTATTTGTTGCAGGTAAAGTTTGTGTCAACAAAAAAATCAACAGATGAGGAAATTGAGTCGTTGCCCACAATAGAAGATTCACATTTTGCCCCATCATACCTTTTGTTTCGCAGTGACTTTGTGAAAGGGCGGATCAGTTTGTGTCTGGAACTGATGAAGGACTGCAGTACCAAGGCAAGAGCATTACTAATTATGCACCTGGCCGGGGTAGTGGAAGTCTACGACACTGAAGATACATTCAAGCACATTCTGGCTTCAACGCAGCTAACTTGGTGTCGCCTGTATCGTACTCAGCTGGGGCGATGGCTCAGAGATGAAGCTATGCCTCTAGACTGCTGCCTCAGAGTCATTTTCACTCTACTCAAATATGTCCCAGGCAAAGATGAAGTGCAGATGGTCTACACTGACTTGAGCGGGGTGAGATGCTATTTCCACTTTCATTTTAATATGATTTGAAAAACCACCAAAAACATTTAGGCCTAGTTGACTTTTAACATTTTTTAGCGAATTTCCCTACCGGTAAGTAGCTATTGGCTATTACCGTAGGTAAGACTTAGGCCTGGGACCGATTTACTTTTTGATCTCCCTAGACCAGCGGTTCCCAAACTTTTTGGTCTGGGGACCCACCAACACCTTGGAGTTTTTTCTTGCAACCCATTTATAAAATATTATTAATAGGTTAAAGTTATCGATAATTATAAATTTTGTAATATTATAAAGTACAGTGAGAACCACACGACTAATTGAAAATTGTGAGAATGATGTCATTTAAACTACAATATCTAGTCCAAACCACAATTGTTTCAGCAACTTTAACTTTTTTAGAACTGAAGTTTAGGATGGATTTTAAAGAGACTATCTACATTTTAATTCTGTGGTCGCTGATCTGGATTAATAGTTAACAACTACTGTACATGTGTTGGACATTGTTCACATACAGCTTAATTCTGTATTCAATTCAGATATATATTTCTCGGTAAAGAATAGGTTATTATTCTTGATATGATATTTTATTGACTTGACTCTCACCCCTCTATGGTATATAATTTAAAATTCCATAAAGGTGTGTTACCACAAAAAGTTGCCCCCTTGTGGGGTTTCAATGAATTTATTTTAATTTATGTAGGACCTGTGAAGACCCCAATCACAAAGAGCCTGCACAGTGGAAAGTGGTGGTGGGTGTGTAGTAGGCCAGTGTAATTAAATTACCCCATATATCCGTATATGCACTGTGAGAGATCTGTCAACTGTCCTCCTCCAATCACCTCATTGTTCTTATTACTAACACTTCTTACATGCTAATCTTCTTAAGGCTAAACATCCCAGGTTTAGTTCCAAATTCTGCCACCACGTCGCAGCACCAAAATGGAGTCATTTTGTGTTGGTGTTTATTGATGGAATTTTCATCCGATTTTCATTTTGAAAACTGATTTGTGAACGGGATAAGATAACAATTCACGCCATTGAAGATAAATTTGAATTAAGTTGCTGGTTAAAAAAATTATAGTAAAATAATTGTGTTACAAAATAAAAAATGAAAATTGCAGGTAGTCATTTTAAAGACAATAATTTTTAATTAGTTTTACTTTTTAAATTTTTAAAATCGCTTGGCTGGTTCAGTCGGAGTCGGTACCGTTGTTTAAACATTTACAGTAATTATAACAAACGCGAGAGGGACATGAAGCAGGTAAGGGCCGCTGTGACTCATTCCAAGGTCACACTCACACATTTGCTACCGCTCCCCCCCACAACAAGGCTGGGGTGTTGCTTGTACACCGGTGGATGACGGTTTCCCGCGCTTCCATACACGAACAAATACAGAATTGAATTAGGGGTTTTGCTACGCTTTAACCAAAACAAATTGCAAACAAAATAATTATTTAAAAGTTATGATAGTGTCATCAAATTTTTTATTTTATGATAATCGTATTTAGGCCTAATCAAACTGTAAAATTGGTGTAAATCCATTGGAAAATATATCTAATATATAAAATTCTCGTGTCACAGTGTTTGTCTGCAAACTCCTCCGGAACGACTTCACCGATCGTTATGAAATTTGGTGTGTAAATTCTGTAGGTATGCGAATCGGACGTAAACTATTTCCCGTTTCGAAATTCTTAAAAGGGCTCCGCCCCAGTGGCTCTGGAGTTTCCCATGTTAACCTTATGAGAAATGGAATTAATGAATCTTAACAGCTGTTTCAATTAAACAAGTTGGTTCTGTTCTATGATGTTCAATAGCATTAAAGTTACAAGGATTACCAACAGGGTGCAGCACTATTATTTCTTTTACATTTATGACAACAGCTAATTTGCAACCAAAAGGTGAGTGAGCGTAGCGAACGAACTTCAACCTGGAGGCGAGTGAGCGTAGCGAACGAGCTAACCTGAAGGCAAGTGAGTGTAGCGAACGAGCTCCAACCTAAAGGTGAGTGAGCGTAGCGAACGAGCTCCAACCCAAAGGTGAGTGAGCGTAGCGAACGAACTTCAACCAGGACGTGATTGAGCGATGCGAACGAGATCATCTTGAAAATTAAACGTAACGGTACTTTCTTTCCATCGGTCTGTCTTAGGGGAAACCTATAACTTAGGCGATACGAAGTTCGCCGGGTCAGCTAGTAAATCTATATAAATAAAATTACAGTTTTGTCTGTACATTGCTTAGAATCATGCAGCTTTTGGTTATTTTTACGTTTCATAACATAAGACAGCCGAAACGAGTCTTATCTCAATTTCTGTCCGTTTGTTTGTCTATTCTGTGCCAAAATGTCATTTTACGCGGCCTACTCCTAGAAAACTAGAGTTCCGATCAAGGTTCTAATAATTTTTCCGTATTTACTGGATTGATGAGAGTGTCTTTGGCTATAAAAACATGGCCTCGCTTCTTTGAAAACAAAATAACGAACCATCAAAAACCCAATTTGGTTCAAATTTTGTAAAATTTTCTCCCAATGTTTACTATTACATTTTATGAAATAACGATCAGCTGTTTGGATTAGTTCTCACTTCTAGCTGTCACTGATATGTTTACATTAAAAGTTGTTTACAAATACCGCAACCATTTCCGATCAAGTTTTGTTAGCACATCCAAACCAAGTTAGATTAAAATCGGTGTGCGGTCTTGGTTGTGCCTTACTTAACCGGTTTAATTAATCGCAAGTGCGATTGTTCTTGAGTTTTGATAACCAAGGAAAATACTGTGAAACAGTGCTGTATATTAGTGCTGGGAAACTTACATTTATTTATCATCGTCACCAATAGCTTACAAAACAGATTTCCACTCATTGACGGCGCTTCAAAGACAGTTGTGTAAAGTGCAAAGTAAAAAATCAGAACTGCAGAGGGTGATCGTGGATGTTGCAGCGATCTTGGAAGATCTTTCTGATTTCGCTGTGATAGTAACAGAGGTTTTACTTACAGATGTAGCTAAACTCACTTTTCCAATGTGCCACTGGCTGCCATTTTTGGTGTCTACTTACTTACATTTCGACAACAATATCGGTACTTTTCCTATTTAGGAAGTAAAATTACTACAAAACCCCTAATTTGTATGTTTTTTGTCACATTTCCTCCGAATGTTTGCTAGATATATGTACCGATTATCGTTTAGAGATTACGTAATCTTAAGAAACCTTTGTTTGGATAACGGTGGTTTCTTCAAACTGTCATTAATATGTTAACATTAAAAGTTGCTTACAAATAATACTATTAATGGAAAATAACTTTGATTTTCGAAAACTTAAAAAATGTAAAACCAAGGGAGATAAATAACTTCTGAACTGCACAACATCAAGTGAAAGTTTTTTTGTGAAAACCATATAGTGAGTTTTTAAAGCTTTACGTTGTTAACGTTACATGTTACATAATTTGTGGCCTGTGTATTTATTTATTTTTATATTTGCCAACGGATTAACACCTATAATACAGTTTAATTAGAAGGACAGTTTGAATTGGTCGTAAGTAGGCCTACTATAGTTCTTTTCTTAAATGTAAACGTTGGTTTTTGGTACTACTACTTTTCCTTAGAACCATTGGTAGTAGTAAGAAACAGTTTTACGTACAAACACATTACTATTTACAACTATAGTTATCGTTAGTGCTGCACCTTATTTCTTATTAAATTAAATTGATGTCTTACTGTACAATTTTTGCGTTTTCTGTCTGGACTCCATAATGTTAGTTTATGCTATGAAAATGAAAAACCATTAGTGAAAATTTTTGTTCAATACCATCATGAATTTTTAAAGCTTGGCGTTGTTAACGTATAAACGTTTTGTGGACTGTGTATTTATTTTATATATTTGCCAACGGATTTACACCAATTTTACAGTTTGATTAGGCCTAAAAACAAAATTTGATGACACTATCAAAACTTTCAAATAATAACTTTGTTTGTAATTTGCTTTTGTTAAAGCGTAGCAAATCTCCTAATTCAATTCTGTATTTTTGTTTGTATGTCTGTTGGTAACGCATTAATGTCCTTATTTCTCATTGTTTCGTGGAAAAGACAAGAGCACCTTTGTTAATGAAAATTTCAACCCGAATAAAGTGTGCAATTAATGAGGTTGAGGTAGTATTTTAACTACTTTTAACCTGTGTGAAAAGTAACTTTCAATTACAGGCAAAATGCACACTAAATATGCAAACCAACTCCTGTTCAGAATATAAGGTTTCAACTTACTACAAGATTCCCGTAGGCCCTACGTAGAACGGGCAACGATATAAACAACTCATGGATCGCTGGCTCAGTGTTGGCCGCGCGGTCGAGCTTCCCCCACCATCTACTGGCAGAAGCCGACGCAGCCCATACATTCACCATTATAAAACACACTTTTTATTTGCTGCTCTGTTGAAATTTATAGGGATAAAATATTGCTAACGCTTGTCAAACTCTTTTTACTAGTTAAACCTTTTATGTCTGTTTTGTTTCTTACAGAAAATAGCCCATCTGAATTCTTTAAAACTACAAATTCACTAAACCCGTTTTGTAGATGTTTTTAGACAACTGATATTGCTAGTTCCAAATTGTACATGGTAAAATAATAAGTGATTACATAGGAGAAATAGAAAGTACAATATTTGTAATTGAAATTCTATTTTATTAATCGAAAAAATAGTACATAAACATTTAGAATAATTTTGCTAAGTTTTTGCCACAGTGGTAACGTAATGTTTGACGTAAACGCGATATTTTTTCTTTCAATGTTTAATGACAATGTATCTTACAAAATAGGTCATAAAAAAGTATGCCTATCACGTTAATGTCAAGCATAGATTTACGGTAAAAACTGTACAAATGTAGTAGGGTTTTTAAGAGTTCAAATGTGTCATTTTCTGCAAGAAAAGAAGAAGACATAAAGATTAGAATAGTAAAAAGTGTTTGGCATGCATTAGCAATATTTTATATCTATATATTTA